CCTGTAAAGCCCAAACCCGAAACCCGCTACCTCGGCTGTCTCCAGCAGCCATCGCACGGCCTCGTCTGCTGCGACGCCATGGCCTGGGTAGCCGGGGCTTGGTATTGGGTTTAGGGTTTAGGGTTTAGGGTTTAGGGGTTTAGGGTCGCAGGTTTTAGTTTTTGAACGCCTTTTTCCTGATCTGCCAAAACCTCGCAGAAATCCCCTGGAGGAAGGCGACCATGTTGCAGGTGTAGGGTTCAAGGTCTAGGGTATTCAAGCTGTCGGACATTTCGGCTTTAGGGATTTTGAGGCGAAGGATTTGGGATGCCTGTTCAGGAGCTTAGGCTTTAGGGTTTAGGGTTTAGGGTTTAGGGTTTAGGGTTTAGGGTTTAGGGCTTAGGGTTTAGGGTTTAGGGTTTAGGGTTTAGGGTTCAGGAGCATTTGGGGATATGCGTTTCGGGTTCGGGGCTTGTGAGCGCCTGGGCTGCCTAGGATTCAGGGTGTCTGGGCCCGAGCCTTATTTTAGGGCCCCCAAAAAAGCACATAAGCAAAAATTGGGATCCGGATATCCCATATAAATCCCCTTATATTGAAGCCCAATAAGGTAGGGATATCCCTATAAAGAGCTTATGCTTATGTGCTCTTTGGGTCCCTAATATTTGTGTGGTCGGGGTGTGGTTTTGTGTCTGGGTTTCCTCTCTGACGGGGCGGACTGGTCTTTATTAAGTTTTTGGAAGTGTTTGAGCACAGGCGGCTGCTTTGGGTCTAAGGGGTTGGGCTTTGGGGTTTCGTGGGTTTCGTGGGTGGGTGGAAAGCTGACCTCGAACCTCGAACGCCTGCGAATCCAATCCCAGAAACTTGAACTCCAAACCTTGCACCCTAAGTTTCAGACGGGCCGGAGGGTGGGTTCCTTGTTTTAACTAGAGTATAGTATACCCCAAAACCCTATTCTAACTATGAAGGCCCCAAAACCCTAGCCCTTATAGAACCCTTTAAAGGTGCTAATCTACGAGACAAGCAACAACAGGACATGGAGGCAGGGAAGGAGTAGGGTCGCAAGCAGAGTCTAGTTCAGAGCATAAAGTTAGGAAACTGGGATCAAAGCTTCTGCGTGCCGCAAAGGCTGCTGTAGCACAACAACAACTGGGATTGCTGAGATGGCAAGTAGGGGCTCTCGAACTAGACAGGGCACCTTGGATAGCACAACAGCCCTGCAGACCTCATCGGAAAGACCGACGGGAGCCTCGAAGCCACATTTTAAACCCCTCTATGAGTTACCACTTCAAGCAACTGAGTCTGAACACCAAGAAGACATTTATGCGACACCCTCTAACTTTGCATCCATGCGGCGCATGTGGCCCAGCAGGGCCGCGATGTCCATGTAGCGGCCACCAATGGCTTTCAAGTGCCTTGATACCCGAGATTCCCCACCTCTCTTCAACAAGGAATAAACTTCGCAAGTTTATGAAGGGCTCCCGAAGGTGATTTTGTTGAAGGAATATGAATGCTCTACAATCATTGAGGGTTCCCTTTTTGACTTAGAGTGCAGGTGTTGAGCTTTGTAGCTCAAGTCATGTGCGTGTTTGCCAAAGGGAAACAAAGTGCACTCTGGCTCAGCCCAAAACGCGACTGCACAAATAAATCTCCCTAAACCCTAAACCCTAAACCCTAAACCCTAAACCCTAAACCCTAAACCCTAAACCCTAAACCCTAAACCCTGAAGAACTCTGCTCCGAGGAGCTCGTCGGAGAGGTCCATCTTGTCTGCAGTCAACCGCCGCTCCTGCAGTAGGGTTTCACAATCGATTTCTGGGGTTCTGCCAGGGAGGCATAAATTATTTGCATAATTAGGGTTTTCAGGTAGGCGCTATACCTCGACCCCTGCGTTTTCACTACTTTTGCTTGTTCTTGCTTCAGGTACGTGCAAAGTTTTATCTCAAGGACCGAGGGATAGGACTTGGGGGTTGAGGGAAGCTAACTGAAAAATTCTAAACTGAAAAACCCAGCTGAAAAAACCTAACCGAAAAAACCTGACTGAAAAATCCTAACTGAAAAAACCTAACTGAAAAAACCTGACTGAAAAATCCTAACTGAAAAAACCTAACTGAAAAAACCTAAAAAACCTAAAACACCTAAATTCGGGAAGTCTTTCGGCGAGGTGCCCGTGACAAGACGCTCGAGTTTTAGGTGTTTTAGGTTCTTTAGGTTTTTCAGTTAGGTTTTTTCAGTTAGGTTTTTACCGGGTTTTCGGGTATGCTACGGTATCAGTACTTTCTAGTACGTTTGGAAGTACAGCTTTGCTCTGGGGCTTATGCAGGGGTTCAGGGCTTAAAGTGCCGGGGCTAGGATGTCGTTCAGGGTCTATGCTGATGGCTGATGGGCGAAATCAAGTGATATCCTACATCCGCAGCAGAGAAGACTGGCGTAGTAAAGCAACAGCAGTAGCAGCGGTAACAGCAGTAGCAGGAGTGGTAGCAGTAGCGGTAGCGGTGGTGGTAGCGGTAGTGGTAACGATAGCGGCAGCAGCTGCAGCAGCAGCAGCCGTAGCAGCAGCAGAAGGAGGAGGAGTAGTAGTGGTAGTATTGGAACACAAAAACAGTCACGGAGTACGCTGCGAATCCCAGTCGCCAGACCCTTTTGCCCCAAAATCAAACCCCAAAGACCTCGATATGCCTTTGTCAAGCAGTGCCAAAGAGCATTTCTTGCCTGAGCAGCATGTACAAGCCATATTCAACCTGATAGTTTAAGAGCTCCACCCTCCTTCACTGATAAAATAAGCTCCTTGGGTCTCCCAAACCCAAAACAATCCTCCAGGGCCTAATCAAAGATTTGAGGTTTAGGTTGTTCTCGTAGGATCAAGCTCTCCTAGACCCTAAACCCTTAACCCTAAACCCCTAAACCCTAAACCCCTAAACCCCTAAACCCTAAACCCTAAACCCTAAACTCTCCCTTATCCCCGCTCCAGAATACGTCTGACGGAGGACTCCGTCACGTCCTGGAGCTGGAACCTCAGCTGCAGGGTTCAGAGATTCGGTTCAGGTGTGCAGCTCCGGATTTTAGGGTTGGGGGGGTTTAGGGTTTCGGGTTTAGGGTTTAGGGTTTAGGGTTTAGGGTTTAGGGTTTAGGGTTTAGTGGGGTTTACGTTACGGTTACCACTACGATTACTGCTATTGTTACTGTTACTAGTATTTTTCAGTATTACTACTACTATTGTTATCATTATTATTACTACTATTTTGAAACTTATTATTACTACTATTGTTGTCATTGTTATAACTACTATTGTTATCGTTTTTGTTACTCCTGTACTTTCTAGGATTTCCAGTAATTACAGGGATTTGGGGTTTGGGGCTTCCTGGAGATCAGCAGGAAGCCAGTCCGAAATTTAACTACAGGGTATGCTACGTTTAGGGTGTAGGCTTGAGGGTTTAGGGTTTGTGGATTGCGTAAACCCTAAACCCTAAACCCTAAACCCTAAACCCTAAACCCTAAACCCTCTGCTTTGGGCTTCCAGGTTCGGATTTCTCCTCTCAAGGTGGTCGATTCACAATGGATTGGTTTGGCTCTGCGGCGTTAGGCGGGCCGTATAGATCTATTCCTGAAAGTTTAGGTCTAGACCTAGATCTATTCCTCAAAACTGAACCCCGAATCGCACACTCCCTAAACTGCGAAACCACAGACCCCTCAATACATCCTGAAACTCAAACCACACTTCCTTCCGTCCGATACTTGTACCACCCGAAACGTGACGGAAGCCTAATCAAATGGAACCCTCTGTCGGTTCACATCATATTGTGATGAATGCAAAGCCTTTGCCGAACCCTAAACCCTAAACCCTAAACCCTCCGAAATGCGAAAGATCCATGACGAGGAGCACGGACAGGCGCTCCGGACGATCCTGGTGGCTTCATAGCGCTTAGGGCTTCAGGGCTTAGGGCAGACAGTCTCAGTCTCATGATATCTTTAGAGTTCGTTGTGAGAGTTGCCTGCGGCTTGAGGCTTAATTATGGCCGCTAGCTCACGAAACCAGGAAGCCTAAACCCAGAAAACCCCCAAAAACTAACCCTAAACCCTAAACCCCCAAGTTTCAGGCCCAGGGTTTATGATGTAGAGCTTCAGTAAAATCTATGCGCGACATGCTGGAAAACGGCAGCCCAACGGTTGCAACAAGATGCCTGAAGATTTAGGGCTTAGGGTTTAGGGTACAAGCCGTGGTCTGCAAGTCACTTCTTCCTAGCAGGAACCTGTCAGGAGCCTATGAGGACCGCTCTTGCAGTGTACAGCACATAATACAGACTATAGATGTATGTATGTATGTATATATATATATATGTATATGTATCAGCGTATATAGTCATAGAATATACGGTATATCGTCTAGAGTACATATTACGTCACATCATCCTTGCCGCACCTAGGACCTGTTTAGTTTAAACCTTCAGCTCCTTCTTTTCAACCTTACCTCTGACTCTGACTGGAGATCCTGTATCATCCTCCCAGTTGCCCATACTATCTCCCGCAACACCCGAAAAAGCCCCAGAAATATCGAAAACCCTCACACCACAAGCCCTGAACCCTGAACCCTCATACCTCATTCCTAACCCTATACCCGAAAATCCCAAGGAACCCTTGCACCCCAAAAGCCTTAAGACCCTGTACAGTCCTTGAAGTGACTGAGGATTGGGTTTGGGGGTTCCTTCTTATAACTACAGTATAAAAAAACCCCAAACCCGATTCTACTTATTAAGGCCCCTACGCCCTAAACCCTTATAGTAGCCCTCATAGAACCCTTTAAGGAACCCTTTAAAGGAACCCTATGAAACCCTATTTCTAATTATAAAAGGCCCCTAGATTCGCGTCCTTGAGGTGACTGAGAAGCCCTGAGAACCCTGAACCCTAATACCTCACTCCTAACCCCAAACGCGAAAATCCTGAAAAAATCCCTACCACCCAAACCCGAAAATCCTGAAAAAAACCCTACCACCCCCAAAAAAAAGAGCCCTAGGACCCTCTAGAGTCCTTGAGGTGACTGAGGATCGACGGCTCTCCGAAGGAGGAGTCCGCCACAAACACCACCCGCGCTAACTTCGCCTCGGAGACCTTCTCTCTACACTGAACCCTTAGGGTTTAGGGTTTAG